TGACCTCTCTTGATTTTGTCGAAAATACTATTGATCAATGCATTATCTCAAAACCAGTGAGAGAAATTTTATTTTCCTTCTACTGTATATTGATGACATTCTACTTGCTAGCAGTAACTTAGAGCTGCTTCATAAGACAAAGAAAATGTTGTCCGCTAATTTTGAGATGAAAGATCTTGGAGAAGCTTCCTATGTACTTTGCATTGAAATACATCATGATAGAAATCGTGGCTTGTTGGGACTTTTTTAGAAAACTTATATATGACGTGTTTTAGAAAGGTTTAATATGCAAAACTGTGCATCTGGTGATGTACCTATCATAAAAGGAGATAAGTTTAACAAAACTCAATGTCCAAAGAATGAACTAGAAAGGGAGTCTATGAAGATGATTCCATATGCTAGTACTGTGGGGAGCTTGATGTATGCTCAAGTTTGCACTAGATCGGATATAGCCTATGCAGTAAATGTCCTTAGCAGATTTCAGTCTAATCCAGGACAAGAGCATTGGAAAACAGCTAAGAAAGTTATGAGATATTTGGAGAAAACTGAAAGTTATATGCTTACATTCCAGCGTACAAATCATCTTGAGGTGGTAGGATATTCAAATTCTGATTTTGCTGGATGTCAAGATGATTTGAAATCAACCTCAGGTTATATTTTCATATTAGCTGGTGGTGCCATTTCTTGGAAAAGTGTTAAACAGGCTCTAGTGTCATCTTCTACTATGCAAGCTGAATTTGTGGCTGTTATGGGGTTACAGTTCAAACCGTTTGGTTAAGAAATTTCATTTTCTGGCTTAAAAGTTGTTGATTCCATCTCAAGATCAATCACCATCTACTGTGATAATAGTGTAGCAGTATTCTTTTTAAAGAATAATAAAAGTTCTAGTGGGTCAAAGCATATTGACATCAAATATTTGGTGGTTAGAGATAGAGTCAAAGAAGGACAGACGAAAATAGATCATATCAATACAGAGGCAATGATTGTAAACCTTTTGACTAAAGGACTCGCTCCAAAAATCTTTAAGACACATGTTGTTAATATGGGCATTGTGAAACATTTGATATTTTTAGTTAGTAGGAGTTATTTATATATATATATATATATAAAGAACTACGTTTTAGACTTGATCCTTCTACGGGGTACGTAGGCAACCCATATGTTTTTCAGATACAGCCCCTTTTAACAATAAAATATTTTTTCCCTATTCATGAACTATTTTGAGCATGCATTTGGCTTACATCTTTTTATTATAATATTATTGTGATATGACATGTAAAGACATAAGATGAGTCTCTTTTGGAGATATGTGGTTTCATTTTGATCAGAAGCATTATGAGGACCAATATGAATTAGTACAGTTTTTTTTATCACATTTGGTGCTAAGTTCATACCAAATACTACCACATTGGTTGGAGGATGGGGATCCATGTCGTTAAGGATGTCGACATTTGTAGCTGTGGAATGATCTTACATCGCTTAATTGGTGTAATGACTTCCATGTTTGGTATTAATGTTCTTGTTGGATCGGATTATGTTACGTAAGGTGTCATCATTGGAGTCATACTTTTGTAACCACCTATGTAGTCTAACCCGAGTGTTAAAACTTTGTTATAGCAATCAAATGTTTGCCCAAGTGGGAGAATATTGGAATAATTTCATATGTGGACTTCACATTCGATTGCAAATTTTACGGGTTAGATGTATGGCTCATAATGATATTTGTGATTGGGTCAAATTTATTAAGTGATCAATTGGACTTTTTACACCTTACGAGTTGTAATTAATATGATGTGATAATTTTAAGTATGTGGACTTGTAATAAAATCCTAATTAGAATTCTAGTCGTAATGAGACGGCTCAATTATTTTCTATATATAAATGCTAGGTCCCCTCTTCTCTCCATATGTTTTATTGGCTTGCCCCATTGATAGCTAATATTTTGTGAGGAATAAGGAGGGAAAGATCTTGACTGCTATTACAACTATTATTCATATCAACAACGACTTTCACAGGTATGAATTCGTTTTACTAATTTAATTTTGGTGATTAAAAACTGACGGAATATGGACGAAAGGACGTCCAGCGCAAAGAAAGGTTGAAATGAGGGCAAAAATGCCAAAAAATGAAAGGTATGGACGCTTTCCACAATAGACTTGAAAGGTAGGGACGTTTTGTGCCAATTACTCTTTAATTAACGGAAAAACTAACGGAAAAGAAAGGTTGAAATGAGGGCAAAAATGCCAAAAAATGAGAGGTAGGGACGTTTTCCACAATAGACTTGAAAGGTAAGGACGTTTTGTGCCAATTACTCTATTTACATATATTACCCACTGAAGCGGTGGCAAATACCCAAGCCCAAAACTTCTTTCCCGACTCAACGGTCATTTTACTTAGTTCACATAGACAAGGTGGGCTAGACGAGGCTGTATGGATTTAGAACCCATTACGAAGTCATATCATGCTATTTATACAAATTAGGTTGACAAACTTGATTTACAAATTATGTGTTGACAACATTTAGGCCAATTATTTCAAAAACGATTTTTCAAATCAATTGCCTAGATTTTGTCAACATTTCTTTTTCATATTTTATTAATTATGTATATAAAAAGTTTCTCCGGCTCCTATAGCATTTCAAAATTTCATTATGTTTGTTTAATTAAGTATATGAACGAGACGAATCAAATTGATGCAAAATATAATTTTAATAATTTGATGCCTAAAAATGTAAATTGAATTATTATATTCAATTCTAGTAGTCATTTTTGGCTTGTTATTTAACCTTATCATATTTCTGAGTTTGTCACTTTTTTTTCTTTTTTTTAATTTTATTACTTTTTTGAGCGTTTCACTTTTTTTATTTTTTTTAAATTTTTGTCACTTTTTTTAAATTTTTTTGTCACTTTTGCTTAGTGTTTGTCACTTTTTTATATCACCTTTTTTATTTATATCACATTTTTTAGTGACAAACATCACTTTTAATCAAAGTGACATTGCATGTCATTTTTTTTTATTAAAAAAGGGACATTTAACTTTGTTTTGTGCCGTTTTTTAATATCAACAATATTTTTTACTTCCAAAAGACTTGTGATAGACCCCAAATTTTAAAAATATTTTTGTAAGTTGTCCTATTGATAATATATCGATGGACTCATTAAAAGTTCAATAAAAATGGCCCAAATTCTTTCCGAGTCTGAAGCCATAAGCAGTTATGGGCTCAGCTTTATATGGGCCTCTCGAAATATAGCTGAAGGGTTAAAGAAGTGGTAATCTTTCTTCAGCCAACAAAAATGGATATTGCACTAGTTCGAATTAGGTCGGAGAAGAAGTATACCATTTTATGAATCATTCTATTATAGTTTCAATTGATACGACGTCAAGTCTCATCGACCTTCACTACAAATTTCCTTCAATTTATGATTTTACTCGCACTTTTTCTCACTCGTGTTTACAAACGCGAGATAAATTTACTCATATTTTCTCTCAGTCATACCAAACAAGTATGGCTTGCGCGAACCCGTATCTTGAGATTTGTGCCGAAAAAAGCTGCTAATTTACCTATTCATAAATATGATCAATAATAATTAATTACGTTTGAGTAAAAAGTGGATTCGACCCCACAAAAACTAATTAAGCACTCTTTCATAATGTAATTGGAAATTATCAATAGTCTAATATTTATTAGTGGACAGCATCTTTGTTGTCATGTCTCGCCTAGGAAAAAATCAATCCAAACTATTCAAATCAATCAACTCAACCAAACCGACTGATTTAGGTTGGTTTTCAAATTCAATTTGGATTAAGTTGGGTTGAAAAATCAAATCTCGGGTTTGAATTAAAACCCTTTTCAACACAATAAATTAAAAAAATTTAATACCTAAAACGGAAAAAATCTACATAAACACAATGGTGGATACAAGAGGAAGATTTAGAATGTACAAATGCCCCATTTATTTTTACATAGGCTGATTTTATGAATACAATGTACAAACGAAAAACAACATAACGATAAACTAAAAATTAAGGACGTGATAATGAATGAATAAATTTCAAAAACAAATTATAAAAAGAAAATGCTCCATAGTTTCAAATTTATTTATAAATTAATTTTCAGAAAGAATTCTTTATATATGTTAAAAATAACAAAGATTTTCAAGTAGTTTAAAACTTTAAAAATTGTTCAAATTCAACAAAAAATAATCACATCCAACTTGAATTGGGATCAAACCATCCATGTTAGGTTGGGTTTGGATTGGATAAAAAATCTGACTTGTGTCTATAAAAGTCGTCGTTTACTTTTGTTTGTATATCAGGTGACATTCATGAATTATTTCGATTTTGAGATCTTTAACCATCTCATTTCTCATATGCATTTTGTGAGGAATTTTGATTTTACAAATAACTATGCATTTTGCACAATGTCGTCGGATTCAGTATTTAAGTTGGATGGTCAAGTCTTGTTGTTTCATTTTTTTTATTTTTTATTTTTTTGGTTAATTTCAACTAAATGAACGTGGGATTAGTTTGAGTACCGTCAAATTGTAGATACAACCAACTTTATACCTTTAACTATAATAGATCGATTTGTTTTTAATAAGCAACCAAATTACTTTGTTTCTTGAAAGGGAATTGCGACCAACTAAATTTTGTCTCTAGTTCACATTCACCACACCACAATACTCGACATCTTTTCACGTGCTTTTTCACCAATTGGACAAAAACTATTAACCTGAAATAACTAGTGTAACCAATTGAAAGATCGGAAATTTAAATATTTGATAATGAAAAATTAAAGACCAGACCAACCTCTCACGAATTGAGAATCTCTATTGCAATTTTTCATTCTTGAATATTTATTAAAATTGAGGCCTGCATAATGCATCTAACGAATCATAAATTTTGGAGGGTTGAATAAAAGAATAAATAAAATATAATCATAAATTTTAATTAGTAAATTATTTAATGCCATTTGAATTCAATACTATATTCACAGATATTTCTCCATTTCTATAGGCTTGCCGTTTTCACCCTGCAGACAAAACAATGCACTCCAACCGCACACACACCAAATCAACTAATTCTGTACCACCACCACCACCACCACTCTCCTCCCTCCACCTCCACTCCTCCGCCGCCTTCCAGTCATTCACCATCACCCCAACTTTCTAAGGACCTATCAAGAAATTTACCCTTTCAGACCCAAAAATTTAATCATTACCATTCGCCAGATAACTTCAAGGGAGCCTCTGCAATTGCATCCAGGAGGTGCGGATCCACCATTGAGCTTGTTCAAACATGGAAGAAAAACAACCAAATCATTCTATTGAAGAAACTGACAACCTCATCAGTGGAGGCAATCGAAATATCATTTTCGGAAAATATGAGATGGGAAGAATTCTAGGACAAGGCACTTTTGCCAAAGTCTACTATGGGAAAAACCTTCAATCCTCCGAAAGTGTAGCGATTAAGGTTATAAACAAAGATCAGGTGAAGAAAGAAGGTATGATGGAGCAAATCGAGCGGGAAATCTCTGTTATGCGATTGGTTCGACACCCCAACGTTGTTGAAATCAAAGAAGTGATGGCCACTAAGCAGAAAATTTTCTTTGTAATGGAATATGTAAAAGGGGGAGAACTTTTTGCCAAAGTGGCGAGAGGGAAACTGAAAGAAGATTTGGCAAGGAAATATTTTCAGCAGTTAATTAGCGCGGTGGATTATTGCCATAGCCGCGGCGTTAGCCACCGTGATTTAAAGCCGGAAAATCTGCTTTTGGATGAAAATGAGAATTTGAAGGTGTCGGATTTTGGGTTGTCGGCCTTGCCTAAGCAGTTGAGAAACGACGGACTTTTGCACACTCGTTGTGGGACTCCCGCATATGTGGCGCCGGAAGTTCTGAAGAAAAAAGGGTACGGTTAGCTATCTGATTTAAAAGTTTATTCTGTTAAACCTGCATATATAATATTTATTTATTTAATTTTTGGTCTTTCCAAGACGCCCACTTAAGTGCTGTATAATTTACTCAAACGCAGCTTAAGCATTCGAGGAATTACTTTTATTTTGTTCTTCAACAGGTATGATGGAGCAAAAGCTGACATTTGGTCATGTGGGGTGATTTTATACGTGTTATTGGCCGGATTTCTTCCATTTCAAGATGAAAACATGATGAGAATGTATAGAAAAGTTATCAAGGCAGAATTTGAGTTTCCACCCTGGTTTTCACGTGAATCAAAAAGGTTAATTTCAAAACTTTTGGTGGCTGATCCTGAAAAAAGAATTACAATTCCAGCTATTATGAGAGTCCCTTGGTTCTACAAAGGGTTCACTAGGTCGATTTCTTTTTCAATTCAAGAAACAGTTCAAGAAAATCTTGATGCTTCAGAAAGTAAAGAACCAGATTTGTTAAGATCACAATCATCCCCTCCTTTCTATAATGCATTTGAATTTATATCATCGATGTCTTCGGGATTTGATTTGTCGAGTTTGTTCGAGGGAAGGAGGAAATCGGGATCTCTTTTTACATCGAAATGTTCAGTTTCTATGATTATGAGCAAGCTAGAATCAGTTGCCAAGAAGCTGAATTTTAAGGTTTTATTGGCCAAGGATTTTAAGATGAAAATGCAGGGGTTTTCCGAGGGACGAAAAGGGAAGTTGTCAGTGACAGCAGAGGTGTTCGAGGTGGCGCCGGAGGTGGCAGTCGTGAAGTTCTCCAAGTTGGCTGGTGACACTCTTGAGTACCAAAAGTTTTGCGAGGAGGATGCGAGGCCTGCCCTTAAAGACATCGTTTGGAGTTGGCAAGGGGAGAGTTGTAGCTGCCTAGAATAATTGTCTTTCTTTGTATGCAATTCTAAATCATAGTATCAACAAAATTGTAAGTTCTTTTTCTTATTTAATATGGTCAAGTACTGTTCAGTTCGCTTGCCAAACATGCAGTACTAAAATTCCGAGGAATGTTTGTTGATGGTTAATGTCAGTTTAGGCATCTTATCTAACGCATTAGGCAATGGTAGTTAAGGAAGGTTGCAGTTGCAATACAATATGGTCCAGAGGCTCAAATGTCAGCATCAATTGCTAGCTCGCACAAAGAAAATTTAAACATTCTTGTGTCACACTACATTGACTTACTGCATCCTACATTGACTTACTAACTCCCTTGAAAAATATATGGCGCGTAACACAGTGTACCGTCAATTCTATTATGTACTAAAATGTACTTGAATCCCTAGATGGATTCAATCATACATGAAAAATAATCTACTTTCAATGAATAATTTTTTGAGCCAATTAAAATTAATTTTTTTTATAGTTATTTCACTATTTTAATCATCATTTTTAAATTATTCTTTCACAAATAAGACCCACTTTTTATCTCTAACAGTAAAAAAATCAATTTTTAAAATTCTTATCAAACACCCTCTTAAAAAGAAATAAGTTAAATTTGAACTTCTACACACACTTTGTAAAAGTTTAATACAGATCATCATAAATAATTTCACAAGCACTTGTGCTTAGTTTATGTTAAGTATTAGTAACGTTGACACACTATTTAATTGGTAAATCATTAAAATTATGAGACCTACAATTAACTTATTCATCAATTAAAAATGTGTCTGTCATCGATATTTAACATAAGCTAACTATCGATACTTAGGAGATCATTTATGTATAGATCATAAGTAAGTTTCAATCTTAAATAATTTCCCAAACTAATGTATCATCAAATTTTCAAATGAAAAATTCAAAAAGCCATAGCGTGGAGGGTTCGATTCTTGGAAGGCAGTATCTTGGAAGGGGAATTTATCTCGAAGATAAGGTGCTGGAAGGCAGTGGAAATGACCCTCTTAAGGTAAGGAGTAAAAGCCATGCAGGAATCTGGGAGCCAATAAAGGCACAACTCGCGATTAACTTCCTCAAGCTAATGAGGGGTCGGAGGCTTGAGGTCCAGGATTTAGTCTAGCAAAGCTGGGAGACCTGGGTATAAAAAAAAAAAAAATAAAATAAAAAATATTCAAAAAGCTACCAATCCAAATCCCCCAAGTTTAAAGTCTCAAGGAACCTTGTCAAGTGATTGCTACAGAGAGCAAGATTATTACGGAACAATCAAACCCATGCCTGGTGGGTCCAAAGCGTAACACTTGGCAATTTTAGAGTGCACCACCACTTACACGCTGACACCTCGTATTGCAAATCAACAATAGTCATTGACAGTTTGATTGAAACCATAAATAACAAAAATTCATTTTGAATTTTGTTGTAGCAATATGGTTATATGGGATCCACTTAAATCATCTATGCAAATGATTAATCTCTATTAGTATGAATCAAATCAAACAATAAATCTTAACATTTAGTCTTGTCGCCATTTATTTATTAAAAATATGTGACATCATGACACTTCAAAGATAAAAATTAACGAAGAAAAAATAGTTCGCATTTAATAACATTAGCTTCAAACCGAAGTTTTATCATTAGTTAGATCAATGTGAAATAATCGTCTTAAGTCTTTCACAAATATTTGTTTTTTATTTCGAAAATTGTTTATTAATTTTTCTTAATAAATGAATGACTGCAAAATTATTTTTTTATTAGATGATTCGTGAATCAAGTAGTCAAATTGTATATCAAGCGAAAATATATTTCTAACGTCTCAGAAATTAATGATTCAGAGTGGGGGGAGGGGGGACCTATTCTTACCCCCAAGCTTTTAATAATATGGCTAAATGACAACTGTCACTTAGGATACATATAGTTCTTATTCGCTCCCTAGCTTTTGTCTCTCAATCGAAGTTTCAAAGGAAATTTAAAAAAAAAAGGGGAGGGGTTCAAATTAATTGGGCTTATTGCTATAGATTCAATGGCCTATGCCAGCTTAAAGGTAGAGAACCCTTGGTCGAGCATCCTCTCCATTTTCACTCACTACCTATGATGCATGAACATTTTTATTCGGATGACGTGTTCGTGTCTAACAAATGTTTTGCCGCGATTAACTTGATACCCTTTGAACATTTAAGAATTTGTATCGATTTTTAATGTCAACAAGTAGTGTAAGAAATTCTGTTGAATCTATGACCATTACCATTGAAAATTTGCACTTCATGACATCATTCTCAATTTATTATAATCTTTGAACCATAATTCATTCATGCACACTTGTCTCGATGCATGAAGTGGTGAGATCACGCCGGTAGGACATCAAAAATTAGTTGACCTAGAAATGGAGTTTACACCACTGCTTCATTATTAACTATAATGAGTAATATTTTTTTACCTTAATTTCGTAATATAATTTAATAAAACTATATTCTTCAAATTAAGAGTTCAATTGGCAGGTCACGATCTGCATAATCGACCGAATTAGTAAATAAAACTGTCTAATAACGACGAAAAATCCTGCTAAAATTGCTTTCAATGTCTCATATTTTGTGATAGGAAACATATCAACGGACCATACTTTGTACATATGGTCACATGCAAGTCCAATTCATCCTTCGAATGGGAGTCGATCCATGAATGTCTGTGGTCGATGGGTTTACGATTTGTTCATTTTTAATGATCATTCTATTTAAAGTCGATCAATTTATTTCTTTAAACTCACTCTCACCTAGATTATTGTCTTGGAGCCTTGAGTTCATGCCCATAGTTTAGACGTCAAACTAATTTGCTGGGAAGAAAACTTTTCGTATCTATCTATAATATAAAATCCATAATTTTGTTGGGAATTTATCTATTCCCTTATAAAATATTTGGCGAGAAATATATTAATTTTACAACTTAAAGAAACTTAAAATATGTTGAGAATTAGAAATCCTAATTTTATATCCTCAAGAACGATAAAATTACAAAAAGGAGATAGACATATGAGAACATGCAAGACTTACAAATGTTCACTTCAATGTGAGATTACGTTCTCGACTGTTGGTATAATAATTCACTATAATGGAAAAAAGTTTATGATGATACAAAATTTTAATGATGTCTCCCTACTTACAAAATAAATTAGAACAAATCGAAATTATAAGTGAAAATTCCTAAGATTTAGGATTCAGACTATCGTCGCACAAAGATAATAATTAATTAGCTTTCACAAATTAGCAAAATATTGTTTATTAAATTATACTCTATTATCGTCATGCCCAATACTGCAGACAAATTAAAGAACGCACTTCAACATATTTGTTTCATATCTTTGGCTAATATAAGGGTATGTTTGGGAGTAATTTTTTCTTTCAAAAAATTGATTTTTTGATCGTTATTTTACTATTTCAGCTGTCATATTTGACTTCTTCTCTCATAAGTGGACCTCACTTTTCTCCTAACGATCAAAAAATCAATTCTCAAAATTACTCCCAAACAGGCTCATATTAATATAGTTGGTGTTCGGCACCTGGTTTAGGCAACTTGGATGATTTAGAGGTCAAGTTTCCTGTGGTCTGGAAATATTTGAAATTCAGTGGGCCCCATCTAAATTATTGCCACTTAAAGTCGGCTGAATAAGATAAAACTGGATCAGCAAAGGAATAATCTTGATTCAATAATGGATTTGTCTGTTTTCCTACTCATTTCAAGCCAGCTCCATGAATACGAAATGGAAAAGGCAGGGGGCCGAGCTTAAGCTTATGTGAATATGAGCAGTTGAAGTTAGGAATATTTGTGGCATTTATGCTTTTCTTTATCTTCCCGAGCCACCTGGATTGTATCAATTGAAATACACATGGGTGGGGACGAAAATTGATGCGAAAGCAGATACTGATGAGTTTATGATTTTTCTATACTAAAAGATTTAATTCATATGAAGGCCAAAAATTATTATAGAATTGGTAGTTTTTAATAATTATGCAATAAGAATTCCATCTTTATATAAAAAGTTCTGAAAATCGTATCAATTGAGATACACATGGGTGGGGACTAAAGTTGATGTGAAAACAAATATTGATGAGTTTCTTGTTTTTCTATGCTTAAAAATTTAATTCACATGAAGGCCAAAAATTGGGGTAGAAATTTTAATTTTTAGTAATTATGCAATAAGATTTCCATCTTTATATAGAAGTTCTAAAAATCATATCAAGTGAAATACACATGCGTGGGACAAAAGTTGATGAGATAGTAAATATTGATGAGTTTTTGATTTTTTTATTCTAAAATATTTAATTCATATGAAGGCCAAAAATTATTACAGAATTGGTTGTTTTTAATAATTATACAATAAGATTTCCATCTTTAAATAGAAGTTCTAAAAACCGCATCAAGTAAAATACACATGAATGGGGATGAAAGTTGATGTGAAAGTAGATATTGATGAGTTTCTTGTTTTTCTACACTAAAAAATTTAATTTATATGAAGGCCAAAACTTATTGTAAAATTGGTAATTTTTAATGATTACGCAATAAGATTTCCGTATTTATATAGAAGTTTTGAAAATTGTATCAATTGAAATACACATGGGTGGGGACTAAAGTTGGCGTGGAAGTAGATATTGATGAATTTCTGATTTTTCTATACTAAAAAAGTTAATTCATATGAAGGCCAAAAATTATTGTAGAATTGGTAATTTTACAATAATTTTTAATAATTATGCAATAAGATTTTCATCTTTATTTAGAAGTTCTAAAAATCGTGTCGAGTGAATACACATGGGTGGGGACGAAAGTTGATGTGAAAGTAGATATTGACGAGTTTCTGGTTTTTCTATACAAAAAAATTTCATTCATATGAAAGCCAAAAATTATCATAGAATTGGTTCTTTTTAGTAATTATGCAATAAGATTTCCATCTTTATATAGAAGTTCTGAAAATGATACTTAAAGGGAGGAAAATTTACATAAATAAGCCAGAAAAATAAACCGTTTTCTGAAATATTGTTATAACGTTTTCTGGTACTTTAATTTTAATTTGCATATCATAGAAATATTGAGATAAGTGATGACATATTGTATTACAAACAAATTTTGATTAAAAAACAAAAAATTG